ATTTTGTTGTATGTAGTTTCAGGGCTCCCTCTGCCCGTTTTAACTCTAGCCTTACGTGCCAATTCTGTTGGAAGATCCCAAAGGTCAGGGTTTAGTGAAAGGAGTGTCCACATAGTTGCTTCTTATTTTAAAACTGCTGCGACTTTTTTGTTTGTTTGTTTTTTAATCACGTAGGATCCATTGTGATACTGCTGCTGTTGTAAGAAATTCCTGTTTTAGAAAAAACATACTGGAGAGCAGCACGTGTCTCTAAAGGTGTTTTCTGTTTGGGAGTAGGTAGGTGAGCAAAGTCAGAATGACTAAGGTTTGGCTGTTGCTGTGGACTTTCTACTGACTGATGGGAAAACCTGGCACCTGATGTGGGCAGGATGATTTGCAGAAAATAACCTGCCAACTGGCAGATGCTGGACAGCGGTCTGTGCAAGGGGCTGCCGGTGATGCTGGTCAGAGAGGACACAGGGAGCTGGGCACCCACCCTCCTCATACCAGCCGCTGGTGGGAAGAAGTACAAAGGCAAGAGGGTCCCTACTCCCGGTCCCCTCTCCAGCAGGTTCCTGCGGGAGATGGGTGCCTGCTGCTGCACCGGGGCCAGTGGGTCGGGGTCGGGTCGGCTCCTGATCCCAGGCTCACCTTGGGATGAGGAGCATCATCAGGAGCATCAAACGCAGGGCACGCACCCAGCCCCTGCAGAGCCTGGGAGGGGGCTGTGCCCCGCGAGGCCGGTGCCCGCAGAGAGTGGGGCAGTGCTTGGAGGGGAGCTGCTGGAGAGGGAGGGAGGCTCTGGTTAATCCCACCGAGTTCGTTTTTAGGCCAAGTAGCAGCTCAGCCAGGAGATGTGACTTTACCAAGCAAGCCACAGTGAATTGCATCCTCGAATAGTTTTTGAAAGATTACCAGTGCCAGCGGAGACTCCAGCCCATCTGCTCCTCCAGCCTCCCCAGCAGCTTGCCTTGGAGAGCACCCAGCCTGCGAGCGCACTGGCCGGGGGGGCCGTTCGCAGGAGCCCCAGGAGGGGTGCGCGGTCGTGGCGAGTGAGGCCGGCCAGCCGGTCAAGCCGTTTCCCAGCACGGGGAGGGCAGGGGCTGCTGGAGGAGCGGAGAGTGACGGAGCGAGCTCCCTGGCCCCGCTCCCTGGGAGACTCGTCCTGGTGCTTGCTAAGGGTTTGCCTACCTTTTCAGTAATTAAAAGTTTGTAACTAATTACCAGCTGCCCTGTCCATACCTCATAGTTGTGCTTTCCCCTGGCGCTGGGAGTCTTCTTTTGCAGCAGGGAAGGAAGCCAAATCTGCTTGTATCGCTTGTGCTGTGCACGATACGGGTGCTGAGGCTGTGCGGATTTCTTTCTTGTGCTTCCTGGAAAGCTGTGTTACTGTGTTCTGTCCTTTCGTTATCGTGCCCTGTGAGTAACTGCATGGAGAACGTGCTTGGAGAGAAATGCTGCAGAAAGGGGCCAGGCTCCTGTCTGTAGGCAGTGATTTTAGTCTCGGGCTTTCTCCTGCTTGCTTCTTTCCTGATAAGAGAGTAAAGAGGAAGACATTCAGATGAATTCTCTCCTTGCGTATGTAAACCTGAGCACAGGAGCGTGCACCTTCCTCGTCACCTTGGCTTTGCCCTCTGTGTCCCACCCACATCCCGTCGGCTACGAGGAAATCAAAGCACACACGCAGCACGACTGTTTGCTGGGTCAGGCAAAGTGCTTCGGCCGCACTTCGTAGGATAAGAGACTTTAAAACTAGCCTGTGGATTTTGGCTTCAGCCACGTGTGGATCTGAACACCGTCTCCGGGCTAGAAATGGGTGCTGGTGCAGAGCCAGGACTCCGGGAGTCCCCGTCCCTGCTTACCCGTGTCTCCTGCACCCAAAGACCTTCCCTGCCGCGGACAGCCTGCTGTCCCAGTGACTCCGCTCACTGCTGTAGCCTACAGGTCTGCTGGCGTTTCCCGGTATAAAACTGTGGTATTGAGGGGTTGGCATATCTGCTGCCTGCTTACGGTTTAAAAAGCAGCGAGAGAGACAGAACTGCCCCTTTTGCCTGAAAACTGTCCATTTGGGAGGCTTTTAGCTGAGCTAAAGCCAGCTGTGCCAGGAGGCAAAGCATAAGCCTCGTTGAGAGGAGTTGTCTCCATTTACACATCTGGAATGACTGCGCCCTGCTAATATGCATTGTTTGGCCGTTTTAAAAATGCTTCCTTTTTTTGTTATTATCAGGACAAAGGTACCTTTTTTTTTTTTTCCCTTCATTTTACTTTTCTATAAGAAGGCAGCAGGAGCTACCCCAGTCGTTGTGTTGGCTTAGGCTGAATTAAAGGCCTGGCTGAACAGGCTTTAAAGTTATTCCTGGCTAACTTTTGACATAAAAGACCAGCAGAACCATTGAAACGCATGAGGTCAGGTTCTGATTGCAGCTGTCCTGGAGAACCTGAGAGAGAAATAAAGAGCACGTATTCAGATCGTGAGTCTGATCCTCTGCCGCTCTGCTAAGCGTAAGGTTTGCTTTTCAATTCAGTGCTTAGCAGCAGTGAGTGAAAAAGAGCATCCGTGCAGGCTCTGTGTAGCTGGTATTTTCAGAACTGTGTATGTGATTTAGATACCCAGTGGCAAAACTTAACTTTAGAAAATGGACAGGGCATACGTGGTTTTTCAGATTTCACTTATTTTGTCTCTTTTATGCTAATAGTAAGCGCTGACCTGGGCTGGGGGACAGGTTCTCTGTCCTGTTACTATTCAGTGCTACACGACTGGCTTAAAATCTCATAAAACAGTATCTTTTGTGAAGATCAGCTATTGTTTTTCTGCCGCACTGCTCAATAATTGATTCCCATCAGATCTATGTGGTTTATATTTCCCATTAATAGCACTGGGTGGTGTTTGGCATTTTTGTGTACTGTGCTGACTGCCGCAGCATCCCTTCCCTTCCCTTCCCTTCCCTTCCCTTCCCTTCCCTTCCCTTCCCTTCC